ATTGCTCTTTTTCTCTCATCGTATTCTTCTCTCTTGGCCTCACCTGCAGTTCTGTGGTTGTGTTGTACATTACTGCAATTATCACCTAAGTCCCTCAACTGGATTGTTTCCACTAATATTCCCCTTTCCCGCCCGTGCCATCCATTCCATCCATTTTCTCAAAACCCCACTGTTTTTAATGAGCAGTGCAACACCTCCCTCCCCCCTCTCCTCCTCAGGTCTTTCCTGAGGGATTTGATATCCGGATGGAAAGATTGAACAATTCTGTCTATTATTCTGGTGAGTTTTGTCCCTGTGAGTGCCTATTAGTATTCTGGGATAGTCTCTTTGATTCTTCGTGCCACTCTCATACTTGTGTTGTTATTCCATCTGCATTTTGTATACCACACCTTCAACTTCCGTTTTCTAAGACTGATATGGTCTGGGAGGTACATTGGGGTTTGAGGAATTGTGGAGACCTGGAAAGTAACCTAGGGGTTGTTGCTGTGGGTGGGTGGAGTTTTTGTAATGTATGGGTGGGGGACATTGATGTGGCAATGGGTTTTTGATTTAGAGTGTTAGGTTTGCACTGGGGTGACCTGGTTGGGAGGCTTGCTAAATGGAGGAAGTATGAGGGAGGCTTGTAGTTTGGATCTTCTTCTCTGGGTGTGGGAATCTTCCTGTCGTCCTTCTTTCTCCTCCCCTCTCTTTCCCTCCCTTTCCGCCTCTGTACCATCACTCTCTCTCAGATTTCAGCCTTTCTTGCTTGTGTTCTGTCAGCGGTTTGAATAACACCTTCCTGTATGCCGGACATGTCCCTTAAATCGTGCTTTTCTCCGCAGATCCTGTCCGCGTCGCTTCTTCTGCCTTTTAAGTCACTCTCACTGGCCGGGTTCTTCTATTTTACAAACCCCCCTATCTCTCCGAAAAATTTCCAGCTGGGTCATGTTCGTCTTCTCCTATATGCTATTTCGATGGATGCCTTTTGACATATTGCTTTAAAATTTCCCCTTGTTTTCTTGCTCATAATGTTTCCCCCCTTCAAACTTCCTGGGAGCCATACACAAAGACTGACCTCACCCTTTCATTTCTCTCTCCACTGCATATCCTTTGTATCCCCTCATTTAATTTGGATTCCCCACTCAACTTCCGTATCATTGAAAGTTTCACTGGCTAATGTACTTGGGCTCAGGGGCCTGTTCAATTTTCATCCCTTCTCGGCTTTCCTTGGGCTCTGTTGTTGTTCTGTTAGGGCCTCCACATAAAAGCTTAGCTCTTTCAATTTGCTAACAGTTCTCCTCTTATAAAGCTTCTCCATGCAGTTGTGCCCCTTCTTTCCCTAAACAGACCCCTTATTTTTTGGACTGAGTAGCATCTCTGTTGCAATCCCTAAAATGTATCTTTATTCTTTAGGCAGTTTCAGATTTTTCAATTCCTCTTCCTAAACTCTGTATCCTAGCTCTGCTGCCTTTGACATGCACCTCACCCACTTCCTGCTTTCCATATCTATCCTCTCTTTCCTTCCATTCTCATGCTAAGTTCTTCTAGTTCTTTTTCCCCATTCCATGATCCTTTTTATGAGCTCATGCTGCCAATCTATTCCTTTGCAGTTTCTCTCCTCCTGCCCTTGGTATTTTCTTGTTGCTCTCTAGCAACACCCATTTTTTGTTTTATCCGATTGCCTCAGAGTGGGAAACCTAGGTAGTTCTTATTTAGGTTAGTAGTGTGTATGTCAAGATTGTGGATGGGGAAGTAGTGACGAGAACTGTAGCTATGAAGGGAGAGGAGTGGGGAGGGGTTGGAGGGTTTAGGGTGACGGGGGAGGGGAGGGTGTGTGTGTTGGTGTGTGTGAGTGTGTGTGTGTGTGTGAGTGTGTGTGTGGTGTGTGGCATGTGAGGGGTGGTGTCTGTGCGTGTGTGGGTGGTGTGTGTGTAGGTGGTTGGTGTGTGTGTGTGTGGGGTGTTCGTTGTGGGTGTGCTCCTTGTCGTTGTATGCAATAATTTGTACGCTCTGTGCACAGTCCGATGCGTGCGCCTCGAGGTGTGGAATTGAAGGCGCGCAGCGCTAGTGTGGGTGTATGACACCGCCCCCCCCAACCACTTAAAATATTTGTATTTATAAATCAGCCGGGCTGTGCTCGCGATGTTGTTTGCCGGCACCCGCACAACAGCCTGGAATGAAATCAGCTCGTCAACCACCAGTGAGGCCTGGTCACACATACAAGACTGGGCCCGCGGGGGCGTTTGAAACCCTGGAATTACTCTCCAGGTAACTCCAGGTTACAATTCGTACCAGGTGGGACAGAATCAGATGGTTCATGTAACTTGTAATATTTACCTCTTATACTGTAACCATAGTATAAAGATGAAGTATCGAGGAGAGCTGATTCAATTACTACCTCTGTAACTTGCCAGATTGTGACCGAGATCTACCTGGAGTTTCAATTACCCTTTTGTTGCAGTCCCCTGCTCAAACTAGCGGCATAAAGTAGTTCTAACCTGTCCGCCGCAGTACCACGGGGTTGCGTCATCAAACCCAATGAGGTGGCTGCTGATCCGGCCTTAGAGGCATAAAGCCTGAGTGCCTCACGGTACTAACTTTACTTGTGGTGGGCTCTAAGAGGATTGCCGATAGGTACACAAATGAGAACCACCGAAGGTACACGTCTACAGAGCAAATGAAACAGTATGGTACTGCGGAGAGCCGCCTCGCAGTACACACTCTAGAGCATAGTGTGTACCATGCCCACCATAGAGGGAAACACGTCCTACTGGCTTGTAGAAAAATAATATGGTACCTGAGCGCCTCTCTGTAACAGCACCTAAGCAGTCGGTACCAAATAGTTGACCGACCTAAGGTGTACGATCGTTCTCTATTTGGCCTTTAGTAACAGTATGTACCAGCAGCGCTCGCTGAACACACCTAGGCAGTAGGTACGCTGACCACCGAAGGGTACAACGTCTACTGCTTCAACTTTAAGTACCAGAACTACCTCCGGGTACACTTCTAATGCAGAAGGTACATGACCCCACAGAATCGTACTTCTATCTACTGAGCGTTAGAAGAACCCGCTCACAACCGCAGCACACTGAGTCAGTTGGCCTCAGTTTACTTTGACGGCCGGCATTCAGATGAGCTTGTCAAGCATGGAGTACGGCCAGCGGTGTGTCAACCGCCTTTGGCGAGGATTTTACAGGACTATACCGGTGATGTCTGGTGGCCTCACCGTCTACTTTGATCAACTGAGGGCCGAGTCGTCAGATAGGCTGTTATAGTGGACATTAACATTACGAAAAGGTTGGAGTGTTTACACTGAACTGGCCAGGACCGTATGTGACTCAGAGGGACGCTACGATGGAGTGGAACACTGAGAAATTCACATAGAGTAACCGTAGTGTAACACTGAGATAAAAGGGTGTCGTGTGGACACTGAAGATGGCCTGGATTGTCTAGTGTCCACTGAACAGTGTCGAGTACTGACTTCGGTCCGTGAGAGGCAGTTGATTGTCATTAATAATTATAAAAATGTTATTTATAATTAATTGTTTTATAGCCTAGAGATTATATTAATAAAAGAGCCAGTATGTCAAGAGTTGTACCCTGTGTAGGGTTATTAAATTATATTTAGTAAAATGCTGGAATGAAAAATTATTAATAGAAACATGTACATATATAAATTATATCAAAGTTCAAATACCTCTAGACCAAAGATAAGTTGAATTTTATATATAAAAGATTAATTTATATTAATGTGTGTATTTATGTATCCCGAACTCTTTTTACAAAAGGATAATCTTAATACCGATCTTCTTCTCTTAACAATTACTTTTGTCATATATGGGGGCCTGTCCGGGATGATTAATGATTATCTAGAATGATTTCTTGACGATCATATCCGTATGACGTTATCGGGATACATTATTACATTGATCTTTGTGTGTCGGTCCTTTTGTGGTGGGGGTGTTGCGGCCCACTGCCAAACTACGGTTAAATAGTTAACCTGGTCCGGCCGGCAGTACCACTGGGGTGCGTCCTCAAACCCAATGTGGGGGCTGCTGAGGCCGCTTAGAAATCCGTAAGAGCCTGCAGTGGTCGATGTCAACAGTCTAACATACACCTAGAGGCAGTAGGTATCCCTGACCACCGACGGGTACACGTCTAACACGGCTTTAGTACACAGTATGTACCAGACGCCTCGACTTAACACGACACCTAAGCAGTATGGTAGCCTGACCACCGAAGGGTACACGTCTACTAGCGCTTTTCTAGAAATTGTATTGTACCTGATGCGCATTCGTCGCTGTACAACCTAAGCCGTAAACAAAAAAAAAAAAAAAAAAAAAAACAAAAAAAAAAAAAAATAAAAATAAACAAAACAGGTACCTGACCACGATGCCAATTAAGAAGAGTACAAGGACCGTTCCTCACACCACACCCAACACACAAATGAGGGAGTAATGATGGGAAGTTTTTCTTTTTCGGGCCACCCTCCCTTGGTGGGAATCGGCCAGTGTGTTAATAAAAAAAAAGATAAGTGAACTAAACATATGTAAATAAATAAAAACCCTTATATACACCTGTTAACCCCTATGGGGCCTAGTTCCTGGGCCTTTGTGTATCCATATGTTCTTGTGCTACCGTCCACAAGATGGATATGGAGTGCACAATAAACTAGTTACTTTTGTGGCAAAATCTAAATCTAAATCTGTAATATTACTACATTATAGTAATTGTAATACTATTATTAATTTTTTTTTGCTACCTCACTACTATAAATCTTATTAATCATAAAGTTCTTGATACATAACTATTGTAATAATATAAAACAATAAACATTAGAATATTACTCCATAACCTGTGTCTTTATAATCACTAAGAATTATAATTAGTCTTTCCGAAATACCTGAACATGCTACTGGCTTTATTTGTATTTTGTAATATGTAACTCACACATTGCATACTTTACAAAGAAACAAAAGAATTTAAATATAAATTTTATATTTATTTTAGGCTGGTAGTGTCAAGTGTGAATGTTAGAGCCCAGGAAGCAGAGCAGCCATGTTTTATCATGTTAGTAACTGTTTTACTCTTATTTATGTGTACTTGTGGTTATAATAGCTGTAGTTACTACTTATTATATTAAATACAAGTTGATGGCCCTGTGGCCTGGCTGGCAAAGCTGTCGCTTCACACGCTGACCATCCGGGTTCGGTTCCCGGCGAGGGTGGAAACATTCCGACGCGTTTCCTTACACCTGTTGTCCTGTTCACCTAGCAGCTAGTAGGTACCTGGATGTTAGTCGACTGGTGTGGGTCGCATCCTGGGGGATAAGATTTAAGAACCACAATGGAAATAAGACATTATTATTATTATTATTATTATTATTATTATTATTATTATTATTATTATTATTATTATTATTATTATTATTATTATTATAAAAAAGAAGCGCTAAGCCACAAGGGCTATACAACGCTGCAGAAATAAGACAAAAGTCCCTCGATGACGCACTTTCTTGGGTGGTTAACCCTCCGGGGTTAAAAATCCGAACGAAATCTTATCTTAGTCTGGCTTGTGTCGTCACCTTGTAATTATTACCTAAATTATATTACCCAATTATATTTTTTGCTGCTTCATTATACATGTATGTTTGTCTACAATGTCTACAACAATGTCTACAATAATGTTTGTCTACAACAATGTTTGTCTACAACAGTGTCTACAACAATGTCTATAACAATGTCTACAACAATGTTTGTCTACAACAGTGTCTACAACAATGTCTATAACAATGTCTACAACAATGTTTGTCTACAACAGTGTCTACAACAATGTCTATAACAATGTCTACAACAATGTCTATAACAATGTCTACAACAATGTCTATAACAATGTCTACAATAATGTTTGTCTACAACAATGTCTACAATAATGTTTGTCTACAACAATGTCTACAATAATGTTTGTCTACAACAATGTCTACAATAATGTTTGTCTACAACAATGTCTACAATGTCTACAACAATGTCTACAATAATGTTTGTCTACAACAATATCTACAGTGTTTGACTACAACAATGTCTACAACAATGTCTACAACAATAAAACATCATTCATATTTAAGTTTGTCTTTATAACTGATAAATCATCAGTTATAATGACGTCAAAACATGAGATAAATATTGATTTAATATATTAATACAGCATTAACAGTCCTGACTCAACACTAACATAAAAACTAAACACAAATAACTCTTGTTTGATTCTGAGTTTATTTTAACAAATCCAGTGAGAGTTTGATAACCTAGGATAACCCAGAGATAAGATTGTTTTTTGGATTTTTAACCCTGGAGGGTTAGCCACCCAGGATAACCTGAGAAAATTAGTGCATCATTGAGGACTGATTTCCATTGGGATCGTTAAATCTTGTCCCCCCCAGGATGCAATTCACACTAGTCGACTAACCCAGGTACCTACTTGCTTGCTAGGTGAATGAGACGACAGGTGTAATGGAACATGCCCAGTGTTTCCACCCGTGTCGTGGGTCAAACCACGGACACTCGGTGTGTAAAGTGAGAGCATCAGTCTTATTTTCATTGGGGTCCATTAATCGTCCCAGAGATGTGACCCACAACACTCGGCTGATACCCAGGTATCTACTCAGTGGAAATAAATCAAGGACCCCAATGGAAATAAGCCACTTTGACTTTTTTTGGTTTATCCTAGGTAATTTACACTATGTATGTTAATTGTACTTTTGTGTATCTGTGCCTAAATAAACTTACTATTGGGTGAACAGGGGCAGCAGATGTAAGGAAATATGACCAATATTTCACCTGTGCTGGGGTGATTCCTTGGTCCTTTAGTGTGTAATCTGAGGAAGCTGTCAGCCAAGCCAGGAGCGCCCACCTGGAAAACACTCGGTCTCTGGGTCCAAGTAAATTCACAAAGACCAAAGATATACTAACTAAATGTACATACATCTTTAACCCTTTGAGGGTCGACAGGCCCTCTCCGAGACTCGTTCTCAGGGTCGGCCAAATTTAAAAAAAAAAAAGAAAAAATAATTTTCTCTTTTGAACAGATAGAGAATCTTTTCCCGATCATAATAACACCAAAAGTTTGAAATTTGATGGAAAACTTATGGAATTATGCTCTCGCGAAGTTAGCGGTCTCGGCGATGTTTACGCATCAGCTATTTTGCCCACTTTGAGCCCCATTTTCGGCCAGTTCCACTGTACTAGTTGGCAAAAAACATGAATATTTCGCTAGAACTCCACTTTTTCTATCAAATGAGTGCAAGAAACCACCCATTTATCAATTTCAACAGTGGTCAGAATTTAGCAATTTTGCCAATTTCACACAAATTTCAAAAGATGCCAATTTCCGAATAGGGTCCAGAATAAACAAGAAAGACATTCCTGGCACTAAAATGACATTTCCTCTGTTCATTAGTCACGTCTCAAGGCCCCTCTTATATTCTTTTGCTTTCCACTTTGAATTTTTATTCTCACAAAAAATAGAAGATTTACTGTTATGTAGACTACTGCATTAGTGTAAAAAATGGTATAAATAATATTGGCACACTTGCGAAAGAATATTAGACTCACCAGTTGACGTGTATTGGACGCTTGGCATGATTTGTTTACTTTTGAACTTTGGTAAAAATCGAACATTTCTGCTTCTTTGAGCTCAATTTCAAGGTACTTTTTATTGTAAAACCAGTCAAAATCATCTCAATTTCTGTAATATGTCTTCCATTCTATAAAATGAGACCAAGAAAACTAGAATACAACAATAAATACCATACGAAAATACAGTGCAAAGTCGCTGTTTTATTCCAAAAAAACGATCAAAGTTTTTTTTTTTCTCATTATGCACTGTGTGCTGCAGGATTTTTTTTATACTGTGCACACTGACCACATAGACCCATTCTTTCATATGTAGGCCTACCAGCTTTCTCCCACTAGATTTGAGGGCGCTAGAATTTAGGCGTACTAGTACGTCAAAAACCCTGGGTCGTAAGCCATACTAGTACGGCCGAAACCCTCATAGGGTTAATGTCAAGCTGTAGTAATGATTCATGGCTCAGTTTATAGCAGACTTAGACTGCACACTGAGGGACCAGGGTTTGATCCCTGGCACAAGTGAAAATGGACATATTTACTTATACCTTTTGCTCCTGTTTACCACGTAGTGAGTAGGTAGCTACCTGGGTGTTAGTTGATTATTGTGGGTCACATCCTGGGCAATAGGATTAAATGACCTTAGTGGAAATAGATTCCTCAGTTACATTCTGACCACTGGGTTATCCTGGGTTACTAACCCTCCAGGATAATAATTGCAACAGTTTTTTGCCTCTCGATTATGGGATCAAGCCTGATCCCATAATCCTATAACCAAGTTAGAGGTTATACTACTGATTGTTACCCATTCCTCCTCTCAAGGGAGGTTCCTTTATGCTGGTGGGGGTCTCTTGATCTAGGGAATTGGATCTGTGCTCCAGTTCCCTGAATTTAGCCTGGATACCTTCCATCCCCCCACAGGCGCTGTATAATCCTACAGGTTTAGCGCTCCACTATGATTATAATTATAATAGTGTTACTCATTCCTAACAAATTCTACAGAGTAAGTAAGTTTATTCAGGTATACACAAATTCAGTTACATAGATTATCATACATAGCAACATATATGTAGAGAACCTAGGATAACCCAAAAAAGTCAGATGAAGTGACTTATTTCCATTGGGGTCCTTTTGATACCTGAAATAATACTATAAAGGAGATATACATACTAGGAATAAGGGAAAGTGAGATTTATACTTACGTGTGTGTTAGCTAAAAGAAAAAAAAACTCATTCTCCTCCCTTTGTCGATACAAAAGTTAGGCACCTTTTGGCTCGCCTTGAACTGGTTCATGCTATGACTGGCTTTGACATGTGCGGGTAGTCTGTTTCATTCCTTTATTACTGTACAATAAAAGTTGCTTGAAGCCTGGCCACTGACTGTGGGTACTACAAAGTTGTGCTCTCTACCCCTAGTACTATGATTGCTTTGGTTCCCAGTATTGACAAAATTGGCAGCAAGATATTCTGGAAAGTGCTTGTGAGCAATTTTATAAACTTGATTTAACTTCAGTTGTTTAAATCAGCATTCAGCATATCCAACTGTTGTAATTCATCCTGGCCTACATGCTCTCTTGGACCCAGGTCCAGGATGAATCTTAATATTTTGCTCTGGGTGATTTGCAGTCTATCTTTCAGTTTTTTGTCAAGGCAGGGTACATGTACCATGAAGACATATGACGTATAAGGGCTAGATGTAGAGTCGTGCGAGCCTCGGTAGGTAGGCACTGTGCTTGTCTGTAGAGGAACTTCAGTCTAGCATTCGCTTTCTTTATTACACTGTTCCCTATCAATTCTGACATGCATGGGTCAAAGGGAATTCCCAGATATTTTACTGAGGAAACTGAAGTAATGGGTTCTGTATTACACTGGACATTTAGTTATAAATTTGCTAGAAAATAAAGCAGGAAACAGCTCATATATATATATATACAGTATACTCTTCCACCATTCATATAAGTTAGCTGATCATTTGCTGTAACTTATCATCACAGCATTATTCAACAAATGCATAGAAACCAAAATTTTCTCAAATATAGTTCAGTTATTGTGTGTATGTAGACATTTATTAAAGAAACATTTTGTTATTGACATCTTCATTCTTTATACAGAGAAGTTAAAAGAAACATCACATAAATGTGTGAGAGGTCACTCGAGTATAGGCTCACCTGAACTGTGCATAAATGCGTGTATATTAGGGTTATAAATTTTTTCCAAATAAAACATCTCCTGTGTCATAAATTGATGAACTTTTGTTTAAAAACAATGAAAAAGTCCCTAATTTCTCTGTTTTCAAAAAAGGTCACCCCAAAATAAAAACTATGAATCACCATGTATCTGCATTACTACTCATGAGTAGCAACTCAGGAAAGTACTAATTGGCAACTCAGACTAATGAAAAATATTAATCACCGTATCTTTGCATTACAGTGGACCCCCGCATAA